AAACATCGTATACTGGAGAATGAAACGGATATTCCTGCCATTTCCTAAGAAGACATACTGGTAAAGTCCCTGGATGCAGCGCCTAACGGATTTATATGCAAGCCTACTGTTGAAACTGGCGCTGGGAAACTGTTATCTTCGTACACCTGAGTAATTATAGAAAGCAAGTAAGGAGGGGTGGTGTGCTTTGGAAATGAAAGCCTTACGCTGAAGCCTTTTGCAATGAAAACTACACTGCAAGATTACTTACAAGATGCACGGTCGCCAGATAGAGCATATTTGGACGTGGCGACTTGACGTGATTATGATCCAAAGTCGTTTTAATATAACTTACTCAACCTCTGGATATTAGCTCATGTAGGTATTCTAAGCCTATGTTATTAAGTTTTGTAATCAGATTATATAGAGTACTTTTGTTTAACTGATGTTCATTTTTATTTGTTAATTTTTTAAAGGAAAAGTTAAAAATACATTACCAGCTAAACCACTGAATAACAATGAATATTAATTGTGACGGTATTCAGTGGCTTAAGTATGCCCCCGCAACCCGCGCAATTTCGGGAGGACCAAACCAAAAGGAGACCCCGAATCAGCCAAAATCGTAACTACAGTTATAGGGAAATAAATGTAGGGGGCCCAATTACATTTTATGCAGGGGAACCCATTTTTTGTAGTTACGTCACTGACGGTATAGTCACATGTTATTCAAACACCTAAAGTAATTTATATTTTATTTTTTGCTACACATTACACGGTGTAATCATTTAATGCGATTTCCAAAGTTTTAGTCACATTCTTCTTTATAAAATACCCCCATGTGTAATGATGCACTTTAAACAATCACGTTTAGTTCTCAGGGGGGTCAGCGATTTCAAAGTTTTAGTCACATTCTTCTTTATAAAATACCCCCATGTGTAATGATGCACTTTAAACAATCACGTTTAGTTCTTCGGGGGGGTCAGCGATATACTTCGGGATTCGATACCGGTGGTGGGCACAACACAGATAGCCCATTGTGTAGCTTTGCACTAATAAAACGGAAGAAACAGCTGTCATGTACACACACACATGTTTCCTTTACGTGTGTTGTTACAGATCCGGACTTGAATATTTATAGATGTTATATTTTGCATGATATCACCAGATGATTTAGATTGGTCGTCTTTCAGAATGTTATGTAAGCAGAACAATTATTATGATTACGTATTGCTCAACTATGAGAGTTTTAAAATCATAAATAATATTCAACGTTAAATTGGTACACAATTAAAAATATTTTATTTAGGCCTATCTATGGCCTTCAAAACGTTGACGACTCTACATGTTTCGACGTTTCAACGTCATCCTCAGGATTATTTATGATTTTAACTTTATACACAAGTGCCAAAATACTATAATTATGAGAGTTTTAGTTGAATGACTTTTTTAATACTTTTGGCACACACGTTTACAGTGTAATTGAAAGACTAGTTTAGCTGTGCCTACATACATATATATATATATATAAGGCAATTGTTGTAATGACCGTAAACTTTTGTATTTGATATTTCCAAACTGACCTCCGAAGGTTCAAGTATAACCATTACTAATTTAGAACTACTGACCTTAACAGGTTGATTTTCCTAGTTATAACACCCCCATAGCTGAAAGTGTGCAGTACATTCAACGGTACATCGTGGCTCGAACCTTGACCCTTACAGTCCATTAGCGACTGTGGTGGGCATCGAAACCCTGTCTTTAGCATTATAAGTCTTGAGACTTACCGCTGTACTATTGGGGGAGGGGGAAGTCTGATGGCTTATAACGCTAATAATCGAGTTTCGATACCCACGGTGGGCACAAAACATTGTGTATATATAGCTTTTCATTCACTGGTACTGTTATGATGAAAAGTGTTGCTTAGAAGATAAAAAAAGCTAACAATAACAAACGACATAAATTTTCGCCTCGTTAGAAAAAAAAATCTTTCTGATGGTGACTTAAATAACGAGTGGATTATTGATAAAGGTGTTGATGTTTGTTTTTCAATGGCGTAAAATATATATAGAGGGCGCCTTTCATCTCGGCGTGGCACATCAACGTCTGTTGTTTTTTGTTTTTTTTCACCTACTGTTTCAAAAACATAAACAGTAGTAAATATTGCATTATGTTTATGAAACTTTGACCCAAGTTAGACATTATGAACTTCAACCCTTTTGTCATTTATATGATATGCAAAATGAAGGTTATAATACAACTCGACTTTCACTATAGTTGTAACGTACATCTTTCTGACGTTTTTGTTTTATGCATTGTGTTTGTTAAAATCGAGATATGCAACACAAGTTATGTTAGACGTAATGAATTTGAAGTCAGTGAGAAATATATATGTTATTGCTTTATGAGCTGATTGAGTACGTTTATTGTAATTCTGTTGTGTATTATTTTTCTACTGCCGCAAATGAAATTTGAAGTTATTCAAACTTAAGTGGCTCTTGGGATGTTGACAGTGAGAGAAAACTAGTTTTAATAACATAGTTTGATATGAATAGTCTTCAATTTACTACGTGAGAAGGTGACGTTCTCGTGCCTATACTGCTTTTCTATTATTATTATTTTTTTATCTATTTGTATATGTTCTACATCTTACAAAAATTCCTGGGGTGTGTATAGTGCCAAACGTATTGTCCACCGTAGTTCTTTGGAAGGTGTTATTAAACAAACCACCCTGTACGTTGTGACACACTTTTCGGTTAGGTTTTGGTTTCTTTCGACAAACGTGCAGACCACCCGAATCGAGTGTCCCAATTATTGATATTATTTCTATGCAGACACATGTTATGATGAATTAACAAGGCACTGAATACTCTTTTCACTGTGATTACTCATTGCTAAGGCATGTCACTATCAATGCTGCAACAAACTAGCCCTAAAAGTTATTATAGCAGCGGCTACAGGAGGCGCCATTGGTTCAAAAGAAACTAATGAATTAACTAAAGTTATAGATATTTTAACCTTTTTTTGGGGGGGGGTATATTTATAGTATTTTTGCTCATCTTAAGGCCGTGACGATATGACACATCAAATTTTTAAAAAAAATATTTTCATTATTATTTCTTTAACTTCACAGGAATGCTTCCCTCCAACTGGGGAGGAAGAGACTTTTTTTTTCAATTTTGTGGTGTATTTCAGCAGGAAATATAATTGATTTTTTAAAAATATTTCTGTGAAGAAATAATGGATTCCTTATATATGAAATAATATACAGGGCATGTAACGACAAAATTTAGAACATGGTGTAAATACTTGGATAATTAGGCTGTTTTTCTGCTATCGAATTTCTTGCGTAAAACTTATATTACTACAAATTTGATTCTAGAAAGGCTCTTGGAAAAAGTCATTTAATGTTTTTTGTTGTGCTTTCTTTCAAAGACTCCATGGTTAAATGATATCCATCACGAGAGGACCGTTAAGGGCCAATTGTTTCGCGAACCACTTACGACAAAAATTAAGTTTTTATTTGGCTTACTATAGTTCAATTCCCTTGACCCTGGCCATTTTGCCATGCGACAACATGAAATTAATCCACTTTAAAGTCTTTAACAAAGAGATAATTTTGCACGCAAAGATTGTAAATGGTTATAAGTTTGGTATCGCTTGTCACTCCTTACATCAGTAGAAGCATATAATTTTAACATGCATTGCATGTAGTACAATGAAATAAATGTTATGTGAGTTGGTTGAAAAAGCGACAACTGCTCATAATAGAAACTGTATACGCACATATTTATTGTCATTTGAGCCATGATTTTGTATCATTGTTTCAACTTTGATTTAGTGGTAATTAAGTTAAAAAAAAACACTTTGAAAGGTTTAAATTTCGAGTAGCTACAACAATTATGAAATACTTATTCAGTTTCATCCATGTATTGTTATTTATTTTAACATAAACTACTGTAAGTTACTCATAACTCAATTACATTTATAGAACTTCAGCAAGAATATCAAGCTTCTGGTTCCCTTGGCTGTGGTTTCGCTAGATAGTAGATAGGGACAGTGGGAATCTCGTTAATCCATTCATGCGCGTCACTAATTAGATGACGAAGCATTTGGCTCACTTTGTCTTTGCTTATATTTTATGAGGTTATGTTATGCCATATTTTATAACATTTGGTACTTTAATTTTTTATTGCAATTAATAACTAATTATATATTTAGAGTATTCAAATTGCATATAAAATAAAGACTGTAACCAGTGCAAAGTTTAGAAAAAGTAGTCTTCCCCTTCTCTGTTTTTTTTTTATTTTGTTTCTCGTGTATGTAAGTTGCTCTGATTATAGTTGTATGTATTTTCAACATATATTTTTTGTGTCTTTGTTGTAATATTCCATTCTTGTTTTCGGACTTCACAGTATCTTTAGTTTTTCAGGTAGATACATAGGGCGTTTCATTATGGTTTCTTTCACTTTCTCTTGTACTACATAGACCTTGTTATTAGTACACTGGAGAGAAAAATAAATTAGGTCGAAGATTTAATAGGTTTTAAGTTCGTTAACCTCATCCATGGGAAAGTCTTTCATACATGCACCTGTTAATTGGTGAACAAACAGTCCTATAATCAGTGAGATTAGATAATTGTTAATATTTGACTTAAATTGCTGGAAAGAATATTTAATTAGTATGTTTCTACAATATGAATTAAGCGGAGAAAATTGAGAAAATGCTTATTGTTGCTGTTCCATTTGGGAGTTAAAATATTTAATGAAAATAAGTAATTTGAAACATTGCCATTCAAAATAGTGTGTTAAGGTGTTTGTAGAAAGTTCTGTGTATACAAGTGAAACTGTCATTATTTTACATAACGTTTCGGGAAGAAAATGTGGTAGACTCTTAAAAAATAAAATATGTTAATTGGTGACACTAGATGGCAGTAGAGACGAAATTTAAACAGGCGGTTAGAAAACCTATCGGTATACTTTTATCGTATTGATGTCTGTAGCGTAACTTACTGAGTACAGCGAGTTACACGGCGATTTGTCAACGGCTCAAAGTTTGATAAATATGGCGATATGCTTTTAGTATGTGTCAACAAGATCATCTTTACTTGCAGTATCATATATTGTTTGATTTTGTCGTAATTGATATTGTTAAGCTAACTTTACGAAATATCTATATAATTATATATTGTAAACAACAGCCAGTGGTGATACTGATAGGACATTTAACAAAACCATAGGGCACTTTCACTTCGTTCTACAGCTCCCTAACTTTCAGGGTTCATTCGTGTTTATTTTCATGGTAGTTTTAACGTTAGGTTTATTTTGAACATTGAAGACAACGACAACATTATTCACCAGGGCAGGAAGAGCTAACGTCGCGTCTTAGGGGCTGAAAATTCACAGGTACGATTTAATTTTTTAATATCTGTACAGACCCATGAAAAATTATTATCTGTAATTTTCCTTATTCAATTATAGCCTATATTTCTGTTTTTATTACTATTATTATTTTCATTTAAAAGATTAGATAAGTAAAACCAAAACTAGTAACAGTAAAAGATCTTTCTTTAGCTAACTTTATTATATATACTCATAGTCATATTATAATTAATGAAAATAATTCAGTATATCAAACTGGCTAAGTACACAATACTCTAGTAACGTTGTTAACTCAATAAACAAGAAAGGTTAAAGTTAAATCATGTATTAAGTGTTTAGAAGATTGCATTAATTATCCTGTTGGGTATCATTGTGGTCAACAATACTTTCAGTTTCAGCCATAAACCCATCATAAATATCTCGTGAAATCCAAAACCCATTTAGTAATTTACGAAACTAACTAGCTATGTAAAGTAGTATTCATGAATAAATGTAAAACTAATAATATCAATATTAAAAATTATTTTAAGCATTATGACTAATAGTTTATTAATTGCAAAGAACAAAATTGAATAATCTCAAGGTTTGTCATTCACACTTTACAATTAATGTAAAATTCTGATGGATTAGTCCTAAGTGAAAACAGTTAATATACTAGCAATTTCTGGACTAAACATTTAATTGTTTTGTTTCTATTTTATCAGTGGTAGGATGTAGAAACAATAATTTTTCTTTAAAGTTACTGCCATTCATAATATGGTGAATTATGTACTTTTGCAGCAGTGAATACTCAAAATTGTTTTTTTAAGTAAAGTTGTTTACAAACTACATTAGTTTTGTGATTAAATTTTAATAACTAAATTCAAATGCACACCAAATTGTAGGGTTAGACAGGTACAAGGGTAAGAAAAATATTGTTCATTTGACATATCATGGGAAGTTAATTGATATATTTTCTTATAAGTAACAGGCAACATTTTGCTAGTGTTAACTTGGCACCATTGGGTAACAAAGCTACAAGGAAGAGATACTATCTTACAGTTTTGTATGTTATTTGGGGGGGTCATTAACTGCTACATAGGTTAGCATCAAGTACTGGAGAGTAGGAGGGGGGGGTTGGAAAATAACCTTAGTTCTTCAGTCCCTTTAATGGGTTTGCACTCTTGGTTTCAGTAAGGATTTTAAGCAATTAAAAAATTCAGGGAGTTACATTTTCTTGGAAGGCTTGCTTAATAACTAGTCATAAAAATTAGCATTTGTCAACTTTTGCTGATCTGAATATTACTGAAATAAAACTAATTATCAAACTCATCTAATTACGGAAAAATAAAATAAATGATTTAATTCAAGCATAATTATTATAGTAGTTTAATAAGTTAGATTAACCAAGCTTTTCCTGTCTATATAACATTATTATAGTCTTCATTAACATACATTACTAATGATAAGCTTGGACAAGCTTGATAAATGTGAATTTTGAACATAAGGATGTTATTATTTTGCTTTATATGTTTTTCTTGAATTCGATATTAATATCCCAAAGGAAAATAAGATTACTGTATTAAGTGTGTACATATAATGAATAGTATTGGGTTACTGAATGAGGGTTTGGATAAACACAGTTAGCCTACTGTGTTCACATAGTCATTGAACTTGAGTTTCCAAGTATTGATTTTTAGCCTATGTTTTTTGTATCAGTTTATTTGTTTATGTACTTACGTTCCCAGATTTAGAAGGTGAATCTTATAACGAAAATTCCACGTTGAAGATGATAGTTTTAAAATTTACTTGTTCTAGAAGAACAAAAATTTTACCAGAGGTAAATTATGGGTCACAGGTTTTCTGCAGGAAGGTTTGGATGTGTTATAGGGTATTTCAAAAACTATATTATACATAGCTGGACGGTAAACTCAATTAATCGATTACTTACGATTGTTACGTAAAACAATGGATATTATGGTTAAATCAATTAATAATTAATATTAGTGTCTTTATTTATTACTGTTTTTGATTATTCCAATAATCCAAGTAGTCAGACTATTTCCATTATTCTTTTCCTGTTATTTTTGATTAATTCAAGGTAATAGTTGAAACGACACTTCCGTAAATTTTAAATAACACGGTTATTGGTATACAATGAATATTTATAAAAAAATATTTTCCCCAGTCTCAAAATACAATAAAACAGTTACTTGATGTTTTACTATATGAAGATGAAAAACTTGAAACTGGAAAATGTCTAACATGCTCTACATATTTCAACTTTTTACTTCATTATTCTGATCGGTGCATATTTCAGCAAGTGAAATACCCTCATAAGTTTTATATTTCCCAAGTTTGTAAGTATAACTCCCGATACTCAGGTCACCGTAACCATTACCAGGACATATATGAAAAATTAGAATTATTCTTAGAAGTAAGCGAACAAAGCCTCTAACAGTTTTGATTGCAGGATAAAATTACCTCTTGTTCTACACCTCAATGACGACAAGTGTAACTGCGTAAAGTTTCTTCTTGTACACTTAGCTCGAAGTTTCTTAAAATCTGATATCGTTCTGATAGCCCTTCTCTTGAAGCATTCTAGTTGTCAATACTCAATAGCCATTCTACAAGGCCACACCCGAACACAGTATTTTGGGTGAGGTTTAACCAGTTTTTTTTTAGAAAACTAACATTAATGTTTCTAATCATAAGTTTCTATATGTAAATTCCAAACACTGGTAAGTTTTGGCCACCACATTGAAGCTTTTCTCAGCGATAACATCCAAATCTCTCCCTTTTTCACACAGTAAATTCTTTCGGAGTTTTTATATCCCAAGTGTGTGACTTTACACAATTCAAGATTGAAATTATTTTTCCTTATTCTTTGGCTATTCACCAAGTCTTTTGAGATCTTTATTCAAAACACTCTGTAACCTGTAAAAGTATCATTAATTTATTGTTTAGATTTTATAGTATACAAGTTTATTTATAAGCTGTTTCACAACCAAAAAAAAACATCAGCCATTTTTACTGATTATATCTTGATGATCATTTAATCATCAGACTCATTAATTTATGACGTTCAGCTAATATGAGACTTGAATAGTTGGAATAATCAAAAGTAGTAAATATTTGGAAACACTAGTTTCAATTAGTTGATTATTTTCACGAGTCATGACACAAATTAAGTTGAACGATCCTGAACTAGTCAAAAATAACAAGAAATATAGTGAGTGTACTTCAAAAACGTGGATGGTTGTACTAATCTAGAAATATAGTGAGAGTACTTCAAATATGTGGATGGTTGTACTAATCTATTAATATAGTGAGAGTACTTAAATACGTGGATGGTTGTACTAATCTATAAATATAGTGAGAGTACTTCAAATACGTGGATGGTTGTACTAATCTATAAATATAGTGAGAGTACTTCAAATACGTGGATGGTTGTACTAATCTATAAATATAGTGAGAGTACTTCAAATACGTG